TTCATTTTCTGTAACGATGCTCAAACCCCCAATTTAATTTAATTAAATTACCAACTGCAATTTTTTTTTTTTTTTAAATGAACCCACTCCTGCTTTTATGGCTTCATCCTTTAAAATTAATGAACCCAACCTGGCTATAAATAAAAATCCATCATTTTTAAAAGTCAATCTCCACCATGAGCTGCTCTCTCCTTAATGAACTGTGAAGAATCAGACCTGGCCTGCCTGGGATCCGAAAATCAGGCTCGGAAAAACGGGATTTGGGATGAAAATTCCTCTTCATGGGGTTGCCTCCACGTTCCAAAGTGTGTCCCAGCAGGGGAGGCACAGCAGATTTTGGGATCTGAAAATCAGGCTCGGAAAAATAGGATTTGGGATGAAAATTYCTCTTCATGGGGTYGCCTCCATGTTCTTGAGCCTGTTCCAGCAGGGSAGGCACAGCAGATTTTGGGATTGGGGATTGGGTTTTTAAATCAWTGGGCAGGTTTGGACAGGGGAAGGGCAGGTCCTGTTTGTCACTCTGGAGCTGGGTTTGTCTCAGTCCATGATGAATTTGGAGCAGTTTATTGATTTCATTTCTCTGATCCACACCAGCAGCCCCATCCCACCCACTCATTCCCATTTTTCACCTCCATTTCTTCCCCTTTTTTTGAACCTGAGCTGCTCCAGAGCTCCCAGCATTGCTGATCCACACCAGCAGCCTCATCCCAAACACCTCCAGCTCCTTCTTCTGTTCCTTTCCTCTCATTTGAACCGGGCTGCTCCCAACTCTCCTCACCCCAGGATGGTTCCAATGCGAGTTGGATGAATTTGGAGCAGTTCATTGATTTCATTTCTCTGATCCGCACCAGCAGCCCCATCCCACCCACTCAGTACCATTTTCCCCCTCTATTTCTTCCCCTTTTTTTGAACCTGAGCTGCTCCAGAGCTCCCAGAGCTGCTGTTCCTCCCCAGCAGCCTTATCCCAAACACTCCCAGCTTTTTCTTCCGTTCCTTTCCTCTCTTTTGAACCAGGCTGCTCCAACTCTCCTCACCCCAGGATCGCTCCAGTGTGAGTTTCCAGCACCGGGATCTTTCCCAGGGTTTGCACAGAAGTGAGGGCAGCCAGGGAGCAGATCTGGGCAGGGGAAGTCACTCCGGAGCTGGGTTTGTCTCTGCCCAGGATGAATTTGGAGCAGTTTATTGATTTCATTTCTCTGATTTACACCAGCAGCCCCACCCCACCCACTCATTCCCATTTTTCACCTTCACTTCTTCCCCTTTTTTTGAACCTGAGCTGCTCCAGAGCTCCCAGCATTGCTGATCCACCCCAGCAGCCTCATCCCAAACACTTCACC